TTCTCTTATTGGTTCATGAAGAAAACACTGGCCAGTAGCCAGGCAGGAAGATAGTGAGGTACCAGGAGAAGGCTGGTGAGAGGAGGAGGAGGGAGAAGCCGCCAGAGAGACGCCGTGCTGCCAAAGGAGTAACATGCCAGATTACAGGTAAGCCACAGCCTCGTGGCAATACATGGATTAATAGAAATGGATTAATAATTAAGAGAGAGCTAGCCAACAAGAAGCCTAAACCATCGGCCAAACAGTTTAAAAATTAATATAGCATCCATGTATTTGTTTGGGGCTCATGAGCTGAAGGACCAGATGGGACAGAAACCTCCAGCTACATGGCCCCTGACTCAGAACAGCAGAGTCCTCACTACGGGAAGGGTACACTCTGGGGGTGAGGGTTGGGGTCTCAGATGAAACTAAAGGGAGGCCGGACAGTGGTGGCTCACACCTTTAATCCCAGCACTTGGGAAGCAGAGGCAGGCTGATCTCTGTGAGTCCGAGGCCAGCCTGGTCTACAAGGCAGTTCAAGGACAGCCAGAGCTGTCACACTGAGAAACCCTGTCTAGGAGAGCATACTATTCCCACAGGATTGCTAAATTAATAGGGCACCAATGGCCATCTCCCCTGGCCTGGGAAAAGCTGTCAGCAATAGGCCAGCTGGGGAGAGCAGCTTCCTGGGTCTGACTGCCTGGATCCAGCTGTGACTGAAGCCTTTCCACCAACACTAGCCAACGAGTCCTTTGTTTGTTTGTTTTGGCCAAGTTTGAGCTGAACATCTGCCATGGCCAACCAAAATATCCCAACACAACCTACTAGATAATTCACTGAAATAAAAGAAAAACATGTTTGATTTTTGCAAGTGCATGAATTACAAATGTTTTGTTTTCTGTCACTGCACCATGATTTAAAGAGTCAGTAAAGCGCTTACCCCCATAAGCAGGTCTGTTTCAGGGAGATTAACCCTCTGGATGCCTTCAGAGGCTGTCACATTTCTAAGATTTACATTTTAATTCCTCAAGCCTGTCCTAGGACCGACTTCTGTCAATTACTCTCTCCCTCGGCATAGACAACCCCCAGCCCCAGCTTCCACACCCTTTCTTACTCTAGCCTAGAGGTCTACACACGTCTCCGGCACGTGAAGCAAGGATCGGTTAGAGATATGCATAGCAAAAGCCACACGTGACCACAGCGAAACACTAACAAAACCTGTGCTTAACTGTTCCGTGTTAACTGATGTCTCTAGTCAGCACAGCTGAGTTCTTTCTCTTTAAAATATAACATTTTCCTGTGGCTTCCAAGTCATCCTGGTCTTCCAGCTCTCTGTTCTGGCTTTGCTGGCACCGCGACTGGAGCTTCACAAGTGTGGCATTGTCCTTCATGCACGCATTCACCATGAGCTACGCTCAACCTGCTCGGCACTTTTTTGTTTGTTTTTAAGGCGACCTCTCCAAGTTACCCAGGCTGGCCTTGAACTTGCCATCCTTCTGCCTCAGCCAGTCAAGTTGCTAGGATTACAGGTCTGAAATGTCAATTCGGACCTGCTATTTCTTCTGAAGCAGAAATACGTATTTTTAAAGTGTTTCTCCTTTCAATTTGACTCAGTTATTATTCCCTCCACTCAGCTGAAACCACCGTCCCAGGGGGATGGGTATGGTGATGGCCACAGCCAGCTGGTCCCCTTCTTTTTCCAGTCCTTCTGACCTCCTAGAGCAGCCGCCATGGCATCCCCGGCTCAGGCCAGCCACTGTGGCAGTAGCCCCTTCTTCATTCAGTCCTCCAACACCCGGCTGTCTCTAATGCACAGCGTCAATCACTCAATGCCTCTCCTTCCCACAGCCCACTTGCTGGCTTCCCTCTGTAGCAGGAGTTAGCACCCTGGACCACAGACGTAATCCTTTAATTCCTCCAGCTGAACACTTCCAGTGGCTCCTAAAACATTCATAATAAATGAAGCCTAATTACTGGCCTGTTAGGGAAGCCCCTTCAGACCAGAGGCTCCAGAACAGAACGGCTAGACTCTGACCCTGCATCCATTTTCCATGCTCTCCCCTCTGCACAGGCTCTCCTTTCTTCCTCTTCTCTGCATGAACACTTGCTCACCCGGAAAGCCCCACCCCAGCATACATTCTATCTGCTTTCACCAAGAGCCCTTATCACTGTATTCTGCTCACCAGTAGACAGTGGTCTGCTGAAGTACCTTGTGGGGATGTCTTGCTTGAAAAAATAAAGGCTGTCTGAAGATCAGAGGATGGAGTTTGCCACGAGCTAACCATAGAGGTCAGGAGGTCTGTACAGACAGACAGGAAGTGAGATGGCTGGGGAGGGGAGGATATAAGCGGGAAGAAACAGGAACTAACTCTCTTTCCCACTGGGAAGCTAATGAGGTAATGGTGGCTTTGGCTTGCTCCTTCTTCTCTCTGATCTCACAGCATTTTCCTCCATATCTGACTCCGGGATTTTATTATTTAGACCAATTTAAGAGCTCCATTTACAGTACTTTTTGTTATATGCTGGATTCTTTCTTGTACACAGAAAACAGACAGCTGAGCAGGAAAAGCAAAAGATAGAACTAGAGGCCTCCCCTAAAGCCAGACTTCTAGAACATTTTTCTATTTGATGCCCCTTTATGCCTAAGAAATTGTCACATGACCCAACTATATTGGAACATAAAATAGGCATGCAAAATTTACTGATAATAAATTTTAAAGAAATTTTATTGGCTCACTAATGAAATGAGTGTGCATATTTATTTTATCTAAAGAATCAAATCTTGGGTCAACAAGGTGGCTCAGCAAGGAAAGTGCTTGCAGACAAACCCGGCAACCTGAGTTCAATCCCCAGGGCTGACATGCAGTGAGAGAACACAGTCCTCTGACTGCTGCTTGTGCATTATGATATACATGTGCACACACACATGCACGCAAATAATACAAACTTTTGAAAAATAATTACATTGTGGTTGATATCTAACACTGCAGGACATCCACCATCCTCAACAGTTTTCAGTTTATCATATTTATTTTACAATCATAAATGCCCCTTAAATGGCCACTTCATTTAATACCCAGTATACACAGGCAGAAATGTATTTAGAGTCATTTCAGAAACCATTGGAAATTCACTATGCCGGGAATTTAAAGCAAGTGATTACTGCTTTTTTTGTGACCCAAAAGTCTCACATGAAATGGCTATTTAATTCCCAGAAATCTTTAAAACCCCACTCTAGTCTTCTCTGAATTCTTCTTTGTAATTTAAAAAAAAAAAGTCTGACCCTATTTTTAATATTAGATTACTGACAGTTTTCAAGTCTCACCCCTCCCCCTCCAGCCTGATACCGCACAAGCTGTGCAAAAGTCTAGAGACTTCCTCCCGGGGCCATCAGGGAGGTCAAACCCAGTGTCTGTGTAGGATCTTTCACCCGAACCATGCCCAACCATAACACAAGCCGAAGGCGTGCCCCTCCCCCAGCCTAAGTGGGCCACTGTGTGTCTGTTCTCCCCAGACAGCCTCACCAAACAAACACCAAACCTCTGTGTCGTCTCTTGACATTGCATGGCTCCCTCATCTAACTAATTTGGGACAGGAAGATTAATCCCAACCTCCACGGTTTTGGTTTGAACGTGAGGTGTCCCCCACAGGTTCACATGTCTGCACACTTGGGCCCTAACTGGTGACACTGGGAAAGTTGTGAAATTTTCAGGAGGTGTAGCCTCACTGGAGAAAGCAGCTGCCCTGGGGTGGGTCCCACTTCCTATTCTCTCTGCTTCCTGATGCAAGGTGACCAGCCAGTGTCCTGTCCCTGTGGCCTGCCTTCCCTGCCGAGGCAGACTGTGTCCCTCTGGAACTGAGTCAAAGCCACCCTTTCTCCCTTGAGTTGTTTGTCAGGATATTCTGTCACAACACAGAATGAAAGTGGTACAGCACTGTAACTGGAAACCCTGAGACAGTGAGCTCCTGTGCTGGCCTTGTTAGATCTCCATCACAGATACAATGCAGAGGAGTGCAATGGAGACAATGCAGAGGAGTGCAATAGATACAATGCAGAGGAGTGCAATAGATACAATGCAGAGGAGTGCAATAGATACAATGCAGAGGAGTGCAATAGATACAATGCAGAGGAGTGCAATGGAGACAATGCAGAGGAGTGCAATGGAGACAATGCAGAGGAGTGCAATGGAGACGCTCACCACACTCCTGAGCACTGGGAACCTCATGCGGAGATGCCTGGTTACTTATTGAGTCCTACAGCCTAAAGATCAGTTCAGCACAGTTACACATGTTTCCATGGGTATAGCAAAACATCTGACATCAGGTAACCTTTGAACAATAGAAGTGTGTTTGGGCTGTGGTCCTGGAGTCTGTGAAGTCCGAGAGCACGTGGCATACGCCTGGCTTCTGCTAGGGACATGATGAGACAAAGAAAACACACTTGGCTGGTCCTTCTTCCCCTTCTTAGAAACTCACTATCGACAAGAAGGGGACTCCAACCCTCATGACCCCATGAGCCCTAATTACCTCCCAAAAGCTTCAAAGTCTTCACTGAGGGAACTGAGGATTGACTCTGCAGCACATGAACTTCAGGGGGACCCCTCTAGCTGCAGAAAAATGGTTGTGCAATCCCCCTGATATTTAGGAATATCTAGCTATTTCCATCAAAACAAGTGAGTATCCAAATGAATAAACTTTGCTCAGCTTTTCTCCCTAGATAACTCAGACATAGCAGAGTCCCAGGGCGACACACTGCTAACTCAAGTCTGCACAGGCTGGGATGGAAGGACAAACATACTCTTTCTTATAAACACGCTAAACTAGAATGCCAGGGTAACTGAAGGGCTAACACAAAAAGTCACACATAGCAACATCCTTCAAATCACACTTAGCTGTCAGTCAAATGATTTCTACAAGTGCACAGCACAGAAAATGTCCTGTGTCTTTTCAGTCGTACTCCTAAACGTCAGAATTATGAAAATAGCCTTTTTAAGGGACAGGGTTATAATAGCAAAACTTACGCATCTTTAACTGCTCCTGTTGCACCTAGGAGGGAGAAGAAAAAGATTTGTATTAATGTGATAGAATTTCTACAAATTAAGCCCAATACCTAAATAAACTGAAGCATGTGTGTGTGTGTGTGTGTGTGTGTGTGTGTGTGAGAGAGAGAGAGAGAGAGACAGAGAGAGAGAGAGAGAGAGAGAGAGAGACAAGGTTTCTCACTGTGCAGCTCTGGGTGGCCTGGAACTGTCCATATAAACAAGGTTGGTTTCCAATTCAGAGTTCATCCAGATCACCCTGCCTCTGCTCCCCAAGTACTGAGATTGGTGTGTGCCACCAAAACCATTTCTCATGTGGGGGAGGGTTGAGACAGGTTTTCTCTGTGACTTTGGAAGCTGTCCTGCAACTCGCTCTTGTAGACCAGGCTGCTCTCGAACTCAGAGATCTGACTGCCTCTGCCTCCCGAGTGCTGGGATTAAAGGCGTGCGCCACCACCACCCGGCTATTAATTATTTTTAAAACATTATTTAAAAAGTGTTTTTGGTAACTGGGCAGTGGTGGTGCGGGGGCGGGGGGCAGGGCTTTGACGCTGCTTTCACAAGTCTAGGTCCTTCTGCCTCCACCCACAGACCAAACACAGCCCAAGACTCTTCCCAGCCCTGCCCCCACCTCCATCTGAAGAGCTTGGTTCCTGCCCTGGCGAGCTAAGACAGCCCACCATCCTACACTAGAAACCTCGCTTTCCCTCTTGAACCAAACAAGGCAAAAAGACCGCCCTTCTCAAAGGAGAAGAAAATGAGCTGAGAGGCACCAGTCACAGCTCTGCAAAGAAAGGAAGGTTAATAAACATGGAAGAGACGCATGTGTGTATACATGCAAGGGGGAGGAAAAGGGGACAGACGGACAAGCAGGCACAGACACTATGGAATGTAAGTGCCTTTAAACCACCACCCTAAAATAAAAAAAAAATAAGACAATAAAAAGGACGAGACAGGGATATTTTGATTGTATAAATAAATAATGAACAATCAGTGCCTCAGACATGAGCAATTTCAAGTTCAAAAAGCAGACAATGTAGAAGGAAGACTAGAAAAAATAATAACCTTCTTAGTTTTATTTGTGGGAAGGGGACAGCTGGAGGTGTGAGACACTGTGACTCTCAGAGTCTTCTTATAAAGAAAACACATCCTGAGTTCTGAAGACAGCCGGGACAGTCACGGATGGGCGGAGCATGGGAAGTTGCCCACTTCATCGACCTCAGGGACAGAGCAGGGCAGGCTCAGCATAAACCTGGAAGGCAACGTTCTGACCCAGGTGGTGTCCATGTCCCGTCCCCAATGTCTAACAGTCACTAAATCATTATGCTCCACTGTCGAGTGACTGGGGACTCCCTGGACGGACAGCAGCTTAGAGGGAGGGCAAAGGCAACACATGTATGGACCAAGCTTTTGGGTTTTTTGGTTTTTTTTAACGGCAGCATGTTGTGTAATCAGTACCGGCTTCAATCAGCCACCGGGAACAGCCACCCGCTTCTCCTTGATTGCGCCAGGCCCTGGGTGGTGCCATTAGAGCCCCCCCCCGCTGGGCTCTCGGCCCTGAACAATGAGTGGTGTCACCTTCCCAAAGGAGGTCCGTGTCCCTTTTGCTCTCTATGACGAGGAGCCTTACAGAAGAGGCAGCTTGTGCTTGGTGACTGTGGCTGGGTGTGGGGAAGGGTCAGCCAAACTACACCAAGTTCAGGCAGGGCTGTAAAGCGCACCTCATTTTCAAAAGGGGAAGGAAGTGCATACGAGAAGCCTAGCAGGGAGACTGTGACTCCACACAGGCTTCTTCTCTGAGGTTTTTGTTTTTGTTTTTTTTAAAGATAATTGTATAGTGTTTGGAAACCTGCGACAAAATTATCAGAGTACATCGCTGCATGAAATGTGACATTTACACTCACTTTATCCTGGACAAGTGTCAGATCATAAAATGATGAAAAATACAAGTGGCTAGCTACACTGTAACATTTTAGTCATGCTTTGCTTAATTGCAATAAACCAGATCGAGATTTCTAATCTAATTTATGTTTAAAAAAATGCTTAGACAAAAATCATTCAGATAAAAAAAATCCCCAGCTGCTTTAAACTGTGTCTGCAAGTCATTTGATTTATAATTCACTCGACAAATATCTGGAGTGGAGCATCAGCTTCTCCATGGCCCCCGGTAACCCTCACCATCCCCAGAGATCCATTATACATCAGGAATCTCTTTTGGAACAGCTCCATTTTCGGCCAGACCGCCTCCTGTCTGTTTAAACACAGCATTTGTGAGTTGATACCATCAGCCTTGGAAGAAACAAGGGATGGCGGAGGTACTGAAGAGATAGCTCAGCGATTAAGATGACTTGTTCCTCTTGTAGAGGACACAGGAACCTACGTCCTCATGAAGGTTCACCAACACCCCTAACTTCAGTTCCAGGAAATATGATACCTTCTGACCTCATGGCACCAGGTAATCGCGTAGTAAACTTACACACATACGTTCACACACACACCTGACCGGTAATTAAAGCTTGCTTTAAATTTGACTTTAACCTGTAGCAGTGGTCTTATTCTCTGCCAGTGGGATTAACATTTTCTGGAGGTCCCCAGTGAGATTCAGACCACCCACCCAAATTCCAAAGCTGGGCTCTCACTCCAGAACTCTGGGGCTTACACTTAGGGACGGTCCAAGGCTGCGGTCTCTTCAGGTCTCAGGAATAACTTACCTGTGTCTCTAGTAAATGATCAGATGGAAAGAAAAGGGTTAGAGTCTATGCAAGTTGTGAAGGCCTAAGACGATATTTAAGACATATAAAGGTCTGAGGGTGCTTAGCTTCTGAGAGTCCCAGAGGTGGTTTGAGATGTATAAATGCCAGTTGTAAAGGTGGAAGAAGGTGATAAAGGGGTGTGGCCATGGGAAACGTTTCACATTTCTTTCCCCTTTCCATGCTATTGTTACACTAAGATTTCAACAGTCCATAGTTTTAACATCGGTCAGTGGAGTTCTGATACCTGGTAGAGAGGTGACTACTTACTGTCTAGTCACAAGCTCAAGATCTTAAATTCTCTGTGGTTGTCTTCTAAGCATAGACTTAAGGTGCCTCTCATCGGGTACCATTCAGCAAATGGTTATTACATCCCAATGTAAACAGGTACCCACCACAGAGTCAAGGAAGGAAATAGGAGGGCCAAGGTTATATTTTAAGTTTTAATTACTATACCTAAGAGATCCACGAAACAAAAATGCCTCTGATGTAAGTCCCTTGCCCAAGGACAGATAGTTCCTGAAATGCTGGAGGCTATTGTTTGTGGGAGATAACAGGCTACATGTTTCTCTCCCCTAAACAAGTTTGTTAGACCCATCACATATGGGTTCACAGGCAGGAAATACGTCAGGATGTACTCTTGTCCCTGATTGGATATAGGCAGAAGATACATAGGCAGGATGTATTCTTGCCCCTGACTGGACCTGACGGTAAATTCTTTAAGACCCTGCAAACCATGACTCAGGGCCATTTCCTGGGAGCCCAGGTATAGACCTGGCCAGAGCCCATCAACCTGGCCAGTATTTAATTAAAACTTGCTTCAAATTTGGCTTTGAACTGAGGTGGCAGTCTTATTCTTAACTGGTGGGATTAATGCCAGTATCACCAAATTAATCAGTTAATTAATTAATTCACTTTTAGAAAGAAACTCATGGGAAAATTAATATTTAGAGGGACTACATTCACTGTGACATGTCTCACATTCCAGGGACACAAACAAAATATTATTCCTAAAGAATCACCAGGCCAGCTAGATGCAAGACATCGCATTAGCCTGGAGGCTGGAAGAAACACACACAACATCTTCGTTCCAACCGGCAGATGCCCCTCTAAGTTTCCTCCATACAGTGAGTGTGAAGAAGAATGAGTCAGGCTACCCAGAATGTTCTTACTATTGTTCAAATTCACACACTTGTTAATGTGAGAGGTTTCTCACACTAGCCAAGAGAATCCTTGTCTTCCCTCCACACCACTATGAATCACTGGGCAGCAAAACCATACCACATGCATGCCAGGCAGGAGCACTGCCACTCAGCCACACGCCAGCCCAAGAGGTCTACCATTGAGCCACACAACAGCCCAAGAGGTTTACCACTGAGCCACACCCAGCCCAAGATGTCTATCACAAGCCACACCCAACCCCTTATCTGTTCTAAGAGAATACATTTATTTTCACATTAGAAAAAAATCTAGTACAGCCTCACAAACCTTAGCGTATAAACAATCAGAAACCTAAATACCTTTGGTACTTTTGGGAAATGATAAACATGCAGAATGTTTAACTATTTTCTAAAAGAAAGATCCAACTGAGAACTGTGTAATCTACAGAAAAATAAACCTTCTCTTAATATTAACACTTTTTTTTAACTCTTGTCCCTCTGACCAGCAATGGTTCTAAATCTAGATCATGTTTTCAGTTTGGCCAAAGGAAATAAAACAACAGCTCTCGTTAGTTTAAAATGATGACTTTTGGTTTGTTCTTTTTTTTTTTTTTTTAGAAAGCCGACAAAAACAACACAGATGCATAAGCTGTATTTCTTCCAATAATGAAGAGAACATTTCAGGTCAATGTGTCCTAGAAATAGACAATTATGTCAATGAGTGTAGATGCTCTCACAGAAAAACTCCTTGTCTCTAGACTGTCCTTCTCAAACATTTTAAATTGTTTAAAAAAAAAAGAAAAGGAAAATAAACAATGGCAGGGCTAGGGGGATAGTTTAGTGGGTAAGAGAGCTTGTAGTAGACCCATGTGGACCTGAATTCAAATCCCCAGTACCACATAAAAGCAGGGCATGGCCATGCGAGATGGCGACCCCAGCACTGGGGAGTGGAGACAGCTGGACCCTGGCAGCTTGCTAGACAGCCAGTCTAACCCAGAGGACAAGCTTGCCATTCCCTGAGAGACCCACTCGGACAAGGTATAGAATGAGAGAGCAGGATATGTGGTGACTTCTTCAAGCCTCAAGGCATACTACAC